GTTGTTCTTATACCATAATGTAGGTTCTTAGAGATGGTCGATGGAGTGAGCAAGAAGCGGCAATTCTGGTTCCAGGGGACATTATCACTATCAAATTGGGAGACATAGTTCCTGCTGATGCTCGTCTTCTTGAGGGTGATCCTTTGAAGATAGATCAATCTGCTCTCACTGGGGAATCCCTTCCGGTCACGAAAAATCCATCAGATGAAGTGTTCTCTGGCTCAACGTGTAAACAAGGTGAAATAGAAGCAGTTGTTATTGCAACTGGTGTTCACACCTTCTTTGGTAAGGCTGCCCACCTGGTGAACAGCACCAATCAAGTTGGACATTTCCAGCAGGTGCTTACGTCCATTGGTAATTTCTGTATTTGCTCCATTGCTGTTGGAATAATCATTGAGTTAATAGTCATGTACCCAATACAACACCGCAAGTACAGAGATGGAATTGACAATTTATTAGTTCTCTTGATCGGTGGAATCCCAATTGCTATGCCAACAGTTTTATCTGTCACCATGGCTATCGGTTCCCATAGGCTTTCTCAACAAGGAGCTATCACAAAGAGAATGACAGCCATTGAGGAAATGGCAGGCATGGATGTTCTTTGCAGTGATAAGACTGGAACTCTGACTTTAAACAAACTCACTGTTGATCGAAACCTAATTTAAGTGTTTGCAAAGGGAGTCGAAAAAGAGCATGTTATGCTTTATGCAGCAAGGGCTTCAAGGACTGAAAACCAGGATGCTATTGATGCTGCAATTGTAGGGATGCTTGCAGATCCAAAGGAGGTATTATTTTCTTCCAGGTCTTTCTATTATATTTAGGATTGGTCCGAGAACTTTTAAGTCATTTGGATTCTAATTGGCCAGGCAAGAGCTGGTATTCAAGAGGTTCACTTCCTACCATTCAACCCAGTAGACAAGAGAACTGCCCTAACATACATTGATTCTGCTGGAAACTGGCATCGTGCTAGCAAAGGTGCTCCAGAGCAGGTAATGTTACTTCTCTTTTTGTAAAAAGAAAAACAAAATCAATTTTGAAAGTTTAGCTAGGTAACTTCTAACGTACATGCTTCTGTTTTTCTTTCTGAAATAGATCATAGCTCTCTGCAATTGCAAAGAAGATGTCAGGAAAAAGGTTCATGCAGTTATTGATAAGTTTGCTGAACGTGGACTTCGATCTCTAGCAGTTGCAAGACAGGTAAGCAAATTAAACTAGGCTTGCTTCATTTTGATTAAACGAGTAAATTCTGGGTAAAACCATAATATTTAGAGAAATTATTTAACGTCTATTTGTGCAGGAAGTACCCGAGAAATCAAAAGATGCTCCTGGGGAACCATGGCAGCTTATTGGTTTGTTGCCACTGTATGATCCTCCAAGGCATGATAGTGCAGAAACCATCAGAAGAGCCCTAAACCTTGGAGTGAATGTTAAGATGATTACTGGTAAGAGGTTTTCAAATATTATTTTAATATTGTATAATGTCTATAATTTCACGTGTAAATTTTATATTGAAATTTTCCAATTATACCCAGGGGATCAGCTTGCAATTGCCAAAGAAACTGTTAGGAGGCTTGGAATGGGAACAAACATGTACCCTTCCTCTTCCTTGCTGGGCGGGGACAAGGATTCTTCAATTGCTGCTCTCCCTGTAGATGAATTGATTGAGAAGGCTGATGGATTTGCAGGAGTATTTCCAGGTGTGTTTTAGTCGTTTGATGTATCCAAAATCTGCTATATTCCAGAAAAATATGAACTTGCTGATTATCAAGATGATATGTTTGTAGCAGCTATAGTTATCATGCACATTATCTAGGCACCTTAGATATTTTTAGGTCGTTTTTCATAGTGTTAGTAAATTTCTTTGCTAAAGGGTCCTCTACCATAACTTCTCTTTTCCCCCCCTAACAAATCCTTTATATGTCAACGACAGAGCACAAATATGAAATTGTAAAGAGGCTACAAGAGAGGAAACATATTTGTGGCTTGACAGGAGACGGTGTCAACGATGCCCCTGCTTTAAAGAAGGCAGACATTGGAATTGCTGTTGCGGATGCTACAGATGCTGCTCGAAGTGCTTCAGACATTGTACTCACTGAACCTGGGCTAAGTGTCATCATCAGTGCAGTGCTGACCAGCAGGGCTATTTTCCAAAGAATGAAGAACTACAAGGCTTGTCATATTTTAGCTGACTTTTGTTTGCATCTTTACGGTTCCACAGAGTAAAGTGTTTTTATTCTTTGCCCTGATTCTTTTTGACTCTGCAGATCCATGCAGTTTCAATCACCATTCGTATTGTGGTAAGTATTTAAAGAGCTGTTAAGACTTGAACACTATATATAGTTTTACATATGGATTATTTAAATATGTTCATTTGCATTTTGGCAGTTTGGCTTCATGTTTATTGCCTTGATATGGAAGTTTGACTTTGCACCCTTCATGGTTTTAATTATCGCCATCCTAAACGACGGTAAGATGTTACCTTCTATCAATATTATACGTCTAATTGTGTTTGATGAATCTAATTTAATTCATCATCGCATCAATAGGTACAATCATGACAATTTCCAAGGACAGAGTAAAACCGTCTCCACTGCCGGACAGCTGGAAACTCAAGGAGATTTTCTCGACCAGCATTGTGCTTGGAGGTTACTTAGCACTAATGACTGGTATTCTTCTGGGCAATGAAAGACACCGATTTCTTCTCGGTAAGAACAGCTTATGTCCTATTTTTTTGGTTTTATTTTGTGGGATTTGGTATGGTTATGCTAAGCTCCCATTTCGTATATTTCAGAACATGTTTAATGTTAGACCACTGAGGGATAATCCTGAAGAAATGATGGCAGCTTTATACCTTCAAGTAAGTATCGTGAGTCAGGCTCTCATTTTTGTCACACGGTCGCGCAGCTGGTCCTATGTTGAACTTCCTGGACTTCTACTTCTCACTGTGTCATGGTCGGAGGAGAAGAGGAAGAACGAAGGAACGAGGAGGATTTGGGAATAGAGGAACGAGGGTTAGGGATTGAGGAGAGTAATTTGGGAATTGAAATCAGAAAAGGGTCTGAAGCACGAGGGAGTCATGTGTCTCACTTATCTGATGGGTTGGAGCAGACTAAGGAGTACCAGACGAGATGGAGTGGCCCTATCAAGATGGCCCAATACCTGCAGCACCAAAAGAAGGATAAGAAGCAGTTGGTTAAGCATTCTGTTAGTACAGAATGCCAGCTGGAATTGTTAGATTTCCCGTACTAGCTAGTAACTAAATAAATACATGTTGTGTAATCAACATTTCCCTTATGAAATGAATGATGAACTTTCCTTTTCTCTAAATTCTCTCTTCTTCTATCATCTCTATTCTCGTAATCTTCTCTATTTCTCTTCAATCCATAACACACTGCTTTTGTTCTTGCTCAGCTGGTAAGAAAATTTTATTTCTTCTTTTATTTCCTTGGTGAGACTCAGCACATTTTATCAAAGTAAAAACAAAATGAAGCTTAGCCGCCACATGAATTTGTTGTTGGCAGGTGGCCACTGCGATAGCTGTGTATGCAAATTGGGGTTTTGCAAGGATTCAAGGAATGGGTTGGGGATGGGCTGGTGTGATATGGCTTTACAGTGTGGTGACTTATATCCCACTTGATCTCATCAAATTTGCAATCCGATACGTTCTTAGTGGAAAGGCTTGGGATAGCCTCTTGGAGAACAAGGTATATATATAATGGATTCATTCATTTTGCAGTTGCAATTCCAATCTATTGCTGCTCATGAATTTCTTCCTCCCCCAACGATAGACTGCGTTCACTACAAAGAAAGATTATGGGAAAGAGGAAAGAGAAGCTCAATGGGCAGCTGCGCAGAGAACTCTGCATGGCCTTCAACCACCAGAAACCTCAGGCCTCTTCAATGAGAAGAGTGGTTACAGAGACCTTTCGGAGATTGCAGAGCAGGCCAAGCGCAGGGCTGAGGTCGCAAGGTGAGACCCATGCCATGCATGCATGCATGCATATTAATAAAATATGTTCCTTCATCTTTTTTTCATGATTAAGATATTTATTTAATGGAATTGTGTAGGCTGAGAGAGCTGAATACACTTAAGGGGCACGTTGAATCAGTAGTTAAGCTGAAGGGACTTGATATCGACACCATTCAGCAGCATTATACTGTTTAAAGTGCCAAGAGTCCGAGTTGTATGGAATATCGTAGTTATGATGAACAGGAACAAGTGAGGACTATTATTATTATGATAGTAGTAGTGGTAGTGGAGATCCATAGGATCATTTTCGTTTTCATAAATGTTCTGAACATTATTGCATTCCATTGTTACTCTCTTTTTAAATGCAACAGAGGGAACTCCTCGTTTTGACAGCATAATTACAGCACCTTTCCGAGTCCCGCCCTCTTTTCTCATATATTTCCTTTTATTGGTTTTGTTTTATTGCATGTTTTAAAAAGTTACTCGCTCAAGCCTGGAGTGTAATATGTAATTTTAAGAAATGGACATACAGACTTAAAAATCAACCATTTGACTTTGGGGAATGTTGCTGTATATTAACTAAACAATGGAAAATCAACACTACCCAATGATTCATATGTATGCCATCCTATACAACCCATACAACTTTTGTAAACATACTGAAAGGAAAGTAAGCGAAGTGAAGCACTGCACTAACCAGGGCTCCCAACCTGAAATATTTGCTGCAGGGCTTGTGGTAGATTCAACAGTCTCCGTTAATGCTGAATTGCTGATGATACAAAGAAGCAGGTAAACCAAATGTAAGTGGAAAAAACTCTATGAAAATCATATGACATGTTGCATATCCACTCGGAACAAAGCAGGGAAAGTAATAAGTTGTTTTCTAAGGCAATGAAATTTCCATCTCATGAAGATTTTCTTCAAATTTGAATCCAAATACAAATTCAAAAGCAAATTATTCACAACATCAATTACCAGGAACTTCTTCAACTGGAGATGGGAAAAGAAATGGTAAAGATAATACCTTCTGGTAAGTTCAAGGTTCTCAAGGCATCTTCTGCATAAGATAAATGAGCTGGAATAGGTTGGGAGCCCATTGCTCCAGCTGAGCTTGTATGATTCTTCTTAAATTGATGCATTGACCATGCTAGAATTTTCACTCAAGTTGGAAGAACAGAAACAAGATCTGGATATCTAAGACCGATTATCACCTTGCTGCAACAAATGTAAACATAACAGTCCTGTCAACAGCCAAGCAAAACTAACTAGACATTTATTTCCTGTTTAAGATAATTATCGAACCTTATAGTTAAGTATATTCTACAAGAAACAGTTATTCATATTCACTAATTTTAAATAGTAGAAAATTATGACTGAAGCATCCATATACCGGCAAACACAAAATGATTTCAGAAACCAAAATATCCCAAAGATACAACTATAAACCATGTAAATATACAGAAAGTACGAATACACAAGAAAGTACAAAGCCAACCAATCAATCAGAATCATCGAGTGCAAATTCAATCATGTGGTACGGAAGACTATGATACAGCTCTCCTATTTGATTTCCGTACAGCTCCTTGACAAGCCGAACCTGTTATGGTGGAACAAGTAAGTGCTTCAAGAAACAAAACATCACCTAAACACGAGAACTACTGATTTGGGATAATAAAATGTAACAAATTCATATAAGCAACTTGACAGAATTACCTGTTCACGTCTGTTCACATAAGCCTGCAATAATTCTCCAATATGATCTATAAATTTCTGAAAGACATATCGAGAAAAATATTAAGAGCTGATCTAATATCATTATCTCGTAAAAACCAGATATGCAACCAAGTTACCATGGCATTAGAAGAGAGAGAATTTTCTACTTCTCGTAGCAGCAGAAAGAAAGGAATTGTATGTTCAATGATAGTCATCTTTTCAAGAAATGACTTGCTCTCTAGCACACAATGGTACAGCTCACAAGGTTCCCCTACCAAAATTAAAGAAACAAGAATTGTAAGAATAACTCTTGTCACACATATGGACTCAATTTCATTTTCTTACCCAACTTCTCTATAAAAATTACATCTTAAATCAAAATACACCATACAGTATATGCCTTAGCTTGAGGTGATAACTTTTTACATGCAATAAGCCAATTATAATTAACTGCAGATACTGATAATCAAATTATAAAAACTTCTTCAGTAGACCTCTGTACCTGCAAAAGATGTCTCATACAATATGCAAATTCTTGTCCCTTCCAAACAACAAATCACCTGCCACTATATAAGTTTGAGGTCCCAAGAAATGACTTCACAGATACAACAATAACAGATCACATACATAAAAGAGTTGTTGCAATATTGACCACCCAAGACAAAACCTACTAATAATTACACATACTCATTCTGAAACAGATTTGCTTAACTATAACTAAAGAAAAACTCTTTTATTTTTCCAACTCCAAATTAAAAGCACTTCCCCTTAAAATTTAAATCCTATCCCAGGAACTGTTAGAAAGAGGCCCCAGCTTTCCTCATCTTTGATTTGAGTAAACTTTGATGATATTAATTTCAATCACATTCTTCCAAATCAAGTTTTTAAGAGGAAGAATGCAGCATCAGTTATAATCCACGATTATAGGTAATGGAAGTTGCAGAAAGTATTCTCGACATATTTTGTTACCTTATTTCCGAATCTGTAAGTAACCTTTTCTTGGAAATGAGATGTTGGAATGCTGTTTGATTCCACAGATGTGGCATTTCTATCGGCCTCCATATGAAACTGATAAAAAAATCAGATAAGTTAGCATCTAGACAACTTTTATCAAATATGGAATAGAGAAATCATCATTAACAGAGTAATTTAAAGCAAGAACATCAAGACAACTCCACCATCATCAAAGTCCAATTTGAACAGTAAAATAGAACCACAAAAAATTACTTTGAAGCATTCAGAAAGGAAAAACACGATACCTGTTCTCTTATTGTAGTTAATAGCCCGTCATTCCACTGTTCACCATCTTAATCTCTGAAGATCCCGGGGGGGAGTTTTCTCGTCAGGGTTAAAAAATCATGAATAAATCAAAATTTGTTTTCGTATTGGCAAATGAGATTTTAAACATATAGATAAAGCATTACAGAACAGGTATTTGGTTGCTATAAAACACAGTTATAAAAGAAAGTTACTCATACTGCAAATGCATATATTTACCTTGACTTTGAGAAGCTCTTGCAGCTTCAAATTCTTTTTGTAGACGATCATATATCATCTTATCAGAATCCCTAGCAAATCATGATCACTTGGAGCATGAATCCTCAAAGAAAAAAAAAAGACAAAGAATACGAGCATGTTCATCAGCTTTCTACTTTCTACTCTAGGTTCATAAAACCAACAAGAAATCAGCTGCCTTATACAGGTATGTATAAACTATCAACGCCATCATTTTTGTGTAATCTATCCGTACCAATATAACAAAGAATATGTCTTAAGAATTAGGATAGAGATTATATTTATACCTGGAGAGACGCTCTATAAGTTGGGCGTGCCTTTTGACAACATTTGAAACTGAAAATGGCAAAACAAAAACGCGTTTCCTTCAGAAACAGAAATCTCATGTCTGCATACAGAATCGCTGAAGGAAAAGAAAGGAAAGATATATTAGTAACATATTGCTCGTGTAGTATCCAACCGAATATCTCCCTCTTGCATGAAATTCTGTACCAATTACACAGTGAGATATTGTCCTAAATCAACAACTTATAACTATAATGCATGGTTGAAATAAACTAAAATGATGTAGGAAATTAATAATCACTACTTCGTCCATCGCTAGAGTCTTGAGATAAGCTTTTAGGTTGCTGGACCTACACAAAATTTCGAACATTTCATTTCAGGCTGGCATTTGAGCAAAACTTGATAAATTAAAACCATGGAATACAACAAGCTTGGCTTGTACAAATTAGTTAGAAACCAGAGATTGGAAACTTTATTAAACCTTGCGAAGGAAATCTATGAGAATCTGATGAGACGGATTCCACAAATGACTACTTTGCTTTCCTGTTTTCTTTGTAAATTGAAACCAAGCCCTGTAGGACAAAACAAATTGCGAGGGGCGGGAGGCAAAAAGAAAGGCCTTAAGTGAGAATGTGTATGCTTTTTATTTTCTTCTGTTATTGTATTTGCTGGCTCAAATGTTTGAGCTATTGGGCCATTGTTCCTCTTTTTTTTCTACATATGGTTGCCGTACAGCATAAAGGAAACACTCTTGGTTTTTTTTTTTTTCCAATAGGGCATCCGCTTAAATTATTTGGTTCAGTAGGCACCTCAAAAGTTAATTTGGTATCTATGATATTTTCTATAGTTAAGAGCGGACTCGTCATCTCGATTGACGAATTTCATTTCGTGAGATATAATTTTTATATTTCGTGCATAATATTTTAATATTTCTTGTTTTCATTAAAAATTTATTATTATTTTTTTCATATTATTATGCAGATTTATTGCTTGGAAAAAATACATTAAAACTCGTCACGTTAAGTTGACGAGTTCAATCATATTTTTTCTATCTCCAAAATGTGATAGATTATGTTAAAATAATAATAATATATGAACATTAGATTATACATTCAGAAATGCACATTAGGAAGAAAAAAACTACAAACTTAGTACATTAACATAAGGACATAAATATGACTAACCTTACGAACACCATAAATATTAAATAAAATCATTAACATAGCATTATTGATTAAGAAGTTTTAATCTTCATAATCAGTAGACTTGTCAGAGGTAAGATTAAGTTCTTCAATTCCCCATTTTTTTTGTTCTTGTTGTTGTTGTTCACGTACGAATTGGAACCATGCTTCTGAGTCTCCATCATCTATGTTTTTTCTTGGTCATTTGTCTCAGTTGGTGAGATATTTGAGCTGGAAGAAACATCCTCAATGGTACGAGCAAGGTCGAGATCATTGAACTCTACAAACAAATCGACAATAGAGAAAGAGTGATAGTAATATGTCTCAATCATTCCAGCAATATCTACATCATCGCTTAGATGAAACCTCGTGCATGATAGTGGAAATATATAATAAGGAAGATATTTTTCTACTACTTTCGAGTAGAACTCTTGTTTCTATATTGAACTTCAACTCGCGTTGTTGAATGTTTCTTGGGAAACACATGGTTATAGATTTGCAATCGTAAGTTGCACAAATAGTTGACATATTTGAAAAAAAATTCAAGCTTTGAAAGTGAAAGATTGAAGGTGTTTTGGTTTTTCCCCCGCTTCAATAGCATAATAAAATGGCTTTCAACTCACACATATTAATAGTTGCTGAAGATGATTAAATGAGCATTGAAAAGTTGGTGAAATGGGTCTTTATTTGGCCTATGAGAAACACAAGTTTTATCTTATATGAAGTGATAAATGCACCACAAAAAGGTTTTTTTATTTGAGTTGATACATCAATGAAAAGTTACTGAAGATGATAAGACACCACTATTTTACCCTTTGTCTGAAAAGTTGTTTAAATTATGCATTGAATGGTCTCTAAAAAGTTATAAAAGATGATAATGCACCACTATTTCACGTATTTTCTGAAAAGTTGTTTAAATTATGCGTAGAACGACCTCTGAAAAGTTGCAGAAGATGATAATGTACCACTATTTTACCCGTTTTCTGAAAGTTGTTTAACTTATACATTGAATGACCTATGAAAGTTGCAGAAGATGATAATGCACCACTATTTCACCTGTTTTCTGAAAAGCTATTTGAATTATGTATTGAATGACCTCTGAAAAGTTGCAGAAGATGATAATGCACCATTATTTCACCTGTTTTCTAAAAAGCTATTTAAATTATGCATTGAATGACATCTGAAAAGTTGGAGAAGATGATAATGCACCACTATTATTTGACCTATTAAGATGACATTTCACTAGATAGTTGTTGAATGGTAATTAATGATTGGTCGTATTTGTTTTAAATTGGTTCACTTCATATGAATCTTCACAAGACTTGTTATTTTTACAATTGTATTGAACAAGTAAAAATCAATCTCCTCTTTGAAGTTATGGCGAACAAGTTTTTCACAATTTTCCAAGTTGTCAAAACTGAAGACGGTGTTCAATTTTTGTCACAGAGGCTCATGAACATGAAGTTACCGGTAGATGTATCTCATCGACAATTGAAGATGAAAATAAAAAAAATAGAGGTTATGTTTCAAGTTTGAGATATCAACACATCATTTTAGAGACTCCGCTTAAATATGGAGCAATCCTGATCGATGATGATGGCGATGTAGTTGTTATGGTTGACCTTCGTCAACTCCAATAATCAAATGATTGAGCTTATTATCGAAACTGTAGATGTTCCTACTTTATCAACTGTTGCATCGATAACCGCATAAACAGGACCATCAGAAGATATAGATAACCTCATTGGGTGATTCAATGAAATCATTGGTGATTTTAGCGAGGACAATGAAACTTTTGTTCCACTTATGATGGATGATGATACACCAATAATCGATGAATCTGATATCGTCGAGGCTACTTCAAATGGAAAATCCTTTGATATAGAGGGTGATGTATGGGAGGTAGTTGTTTCTCGTGGTCAATCATTGCAGAATGCTCCGCCAGTTTGGGTACATCCACTAACAGCCATGCAAGCAGAAAGTTTTCACCCCAAGATGCCTCAATATCGTCATGCAATTGCAATGCATGAGATAAACTATGATACCATGAGGAATCCTGAGATTCATGATATGCTCGATATATGTGTAGCCCACTAGGGGACCTCAAATGAAGGATCGATGAAATTTAGAGTTATGTTACAGTTTGAGAGTAAGAAGGATGCACAATGATAACTCTGTAAAAAGGCCATATTTATGGTCTTTTCATTTAAGTTATTGACTGTCGAAGAGCCCATATAGAATTATATAGATGCATTTAGGAGCATATAGTTGCATGTGGTGGAAATATGTTTTGTCGTGGCATTTTATTTTGAAATCGGTGTTGTGTTATGGGGAATGTGCTTTGTTTGATGATATGTAGGATTTGAGAACACTGATTGGAAATATTGAGTGGAGTATAAATGTCGCGACAACTCAGATGACATTTCTGGGCAGAAAAGATAAAAGAATATATTTTTATTAAGAGCCAGCTGTCATTGTCTACACGTGATTTCTGCTGCCAACCACATAGGAGGGGCCCACTACCATCTCTGCACCATCTCTCAAGTGAAAGGAATAAATTTTAGGGTACTATGGTAAATTTGACACAAAACCCTAGGTTTATTCCCCACAATAAATAGGAGATGAAGCCACCAGATTAAAGGATTGTATTTTTAAGAAAACAGAGGAAAAGGCGGCTGAAAGAAAAAGGTCACTCATTTTTTCGTCAATCGCTTTTGTCGTTGAATTCCTCTATTAACAAGCTAGAGGGAGTGACGAGCTAGACATCTTAGAGGAGCTAGCTAGCTAAGTCGGTTCGTGGTGGCTGAGGGGAGCTCCAACAGTGCGCGTCGAAGGCTTTTCCTCCATCCCTTTGCTATTTACTTTCATTTATCTTAGTTGGGTTGTATGGAACGAATAATGTTTATGTTTTATTTCATGCAATATTCGAACCACACCATGACCAAGCCTTATTTGGTGGGAGTTCCTTATATATACTTAATTTTTATTTTAATGGATGGTTGTTTTTGTATGTTGTTATTTGTTTTCTTATGATGTTTAATGCCTTAAGGTTGTAGAATCTATGAGAGTATTCATTCCTTAGGAGAATGCTTAATGTTCAAGAGAATGACTAAGTAGCATATCTTTAGTAAGTAGCATATCTTTAGTAAGTAGCATATCTTTAGTGTTCGAGAGAAACTAGGGAGGATCCACATAAGAAAGAGGATCTAGATAGTAACTAGACCTAATCAAACCTTAGATATAAGGCTAGGATTTCAATCGACTAAAAGGAGTAGTGCTCGATCGAGAGGTTAGATGCTAGTGCTAACGCTGAATGGTATTGTCGTGAAATATTCTATTATAGGAACCAATAAGATCCATGCACTTCCTAACACCAATAGGTTTTTCCATGGCATCCTGAACCTGTTGAGTCATTTGACTAGAGATAGGATAGGGCACCATTAGTAAACTCTATCGGGTAAATAAGGCATAGAAGTAAGACCATCCTGAGAAGTTAGACTTAAGTTTCCTAAGAGACTCCTATCATTCATTCCCGTAGTAGCTTGTTGTGTGAGGATTGTCAAGTCATTTTATTCAAGTCCAGTGTTTACATTTTGTTTTGCCTTTACATTTTTTATTACACTAAACACAATTTAATTTGTCATGACATTTTCATCCATTTTGCCATGAAATCTCCATTTGCTTCCAAATCACACTATCATTCCATTCCCACTAACATCCATTTCATTATGCCACAACATTCTCATTTGTATATACCATCATTAACTATACTTAGGTAAAGTAGTTAATTGCTTTGACTAAACTTATAAATATCCTCCAATCCCTATGGATATGATACTCAATCATCATTGTATTACTTGTTCGATTATGTATACTTGCACATATTTCACGACCATATTTAGTAGTCACAATTCGCGAACAAGTTTTTGGCGTCGTTGCCGGGGATTGGCAACTGGAAGTTAATTATTTTTGTCATAACATTTTTATTTTACTTGTTCATTTTTTGTATAGTTTTACTTGTTATTTTCCTTGTCTTTTTAGGGTTTTATTTTACGTACTCAATGTGCTCAAGTAAAGATGTATCAAATTGGAAATCAAGGAATTGATCAATAGAAATATCAGAATATCGAGGCAATTCTGAATGCTGGGAATATAGCTAGGCCTTGTACTATTCAAGATCACTTAAACCCTATCATGTACTACCTAAATTCTGGATTGTGGCACCCAAGATTCATGAAGCCCACTTTGAGCTCAAACCGATTATGTTCGACATGTGGGACTTGATTGGACAGTTTGGTGGTGCTACTCATGAGGATGCAAGGTAACATGTTTGGGCATTTTTGGAGGTTTGTAACTCATTTCGACAACAAGGTGTGCATAAAGATATGCTGAAATTGAAATTATTTCCATATTCTTTGAAAGATCATGCCAGGGCATGCTTAATGGAGTACCTTCTGGCTTGA